CAATAAGGTCTCCCCAGAGCCTTCTCTTCTGAGAGGCCTGACCAACCCCAGCTCCTCAACTCTCAAGCTTGTTTCACAGGAGAGGTGCTCCAGTTCTGTGGTCATCTTTGTGGCCTTCTCTGGACCTGCTCTAACAGGTCCATGTCTGTCTTGTGCTGAAGACCCCAGAGCTGTACACAGCACTCTAGGTGGGATCTCATGAAGACAGTGTCAGAATCACCTCCCTCAGCCTGCTGGTCATATTTCTTTTCATGCAGCCCAGGATGTGGTTGGAGTTCTGAACCCAAACACTGCAGACATTTTTAGCTTTTTGAAAAATGCACATGTGACTGCTTGTGTTATTCCTGACTAGACAGAGAATAAAAATATTTGTTGTAAGGGTTGCTTATTGTAAATGAAAGTACTTGATCTTAAAACAAAAATAATCTATGTAATAGACTTCATGTTGCTCAATTTTGTCTCTTTTTAAGGCTGGCTGGTGAATTTTTGAAAACTGATTTTTTATTTGTTGTTGTCGGACACGTGGGTGGAGCATGCAGCGATGTTCAGCAAAATATTCTTCAGGTTTCTCAGTATCTCAAGAGAGATAAACTGATGGAAATTCTACGCAGCATAGGTAAGTTTCCTTGTTGCTAATTGTTTACCAGGAAAGAAAAATTGCTTGGTTTTAAACTTTGTTTAAAAGGTCGTGATTTTGTGATTTTTTTGTGACATGCTTTACAAGACTACTGATGAAACTTGAAGTGGAACTTCAGAATTTCCAAGTTTTTAGGCATATTGTGTTACAGAAACTTCATAAATTCACACAATACTTTTGATTGGAAGGGACCTCTGAAGGTCATTGAATCTAATCAAATACCCAGTATTTGTCAATGTCTCATCTCAATTGAGTACTAGCAGATAAGCTTCCTAGATGGTTTTCTTCTTTATATGGTCAGTTACAATTCTTTAGTATCTGGGGGTGTTGTCTCAAGATTATAGGTGTATTAAAATTCTTACCTGAATGTTTGGGCCTGTATTTTGTAAGTGACTGGGATTCTTTCATTTTTGTTCTGAATTTATCTTACGTTTTAATGCTGAAAACTGGAACTGAGTTTGGAATTAAAACGTAGTTTTATCTACCTTGCTGTTCAGTGCTCAGGATGGTGTGCTGCTCTTAGCTTCATACTGTGGGGAGTGCTTGCTTCTCAGAGAGCAACATTAATTTCTTCTTTTTATTGAGGAGAAAAATAGAAGGCACATGTCTTCACAGGTTTCTGTATTGATCTAGAAATCGATCAGTTGAGTTTAATTAGTTCAACACAATCAAGAAATTACAATATGTGCGTATATATTAGGTGTTTATATAAGTAAGTGCAACTCTAAGTAGTGAAGTGCATCATGTTTTGAACTGCAGTGGCTCTGAACTTCTGTTCAAATAGGTAATGAGCGAACCATGGTGTTTGTGGACACAAAGAAAAAAGCAGACTTCATTGCATGCTTTCTTTGTCAAGAAAATATACCAGCCACTAGCATCCATGGGTAAGTATTTTTAAAGTGAAAGTCACCTAATACTATTGTGAGAAGCTTTTATTGAGAACACAGGTTTTGCCACATCTGTGGTTTAGCTTGCAATGTTTCAGATAGTCCTGTAATTCTCAGTAGCTCTGCCCAATGGAGAATGTAAAGCTTCTAAATGCTAGTTCTTACAGCATTTGCTGAGCATACATTTTTGGTTGACCAAATGCTGTGTTTGAACTGGATAATCTTTTATGCCTACAGCTTATAAAATTAATATAATAAATTCTGTAGAATCAGCTGTTCTTCATGTGTAGTTTTTGCCATAATTTCTGTGACCAAAACCAGAACTTTTGCTGTTACTGGTGAGATGATGTTCATAAATGTGAGTGGCAGTTGTGAACCTTTCACTCTGTCTTAGAGCTTCCTCAAAATGATAAGTCACGTGCCATACAGATTTCTGATGCTGTCATTTCTGCCTCTATGATGTGTTCATGGACTTAGCATTTGTATGGAGATAATCTAAAGAAAAGATGCTTCTAACTTGTGTTAATAGTCCACTTATCAGTGTTGCGTACCTGAACAGATTCTGAGAAACAAAAATGAAGTAGGTTCTGATTCCAGGTAAAAACACATCTAAGATGATGTGTCTTTCTCATCATGTGCTGGAATGAAGTTTTCTGTTTTGTTTTGTTTTTTGTTTTTTTTTTTTATCCTGGTGGCCTGTAACACATTGAAAATGTAATTTTGTAGTGGTTTTTGTATTAGGAGGAAGGGACTTGAATTTTTGCCAATAAAATTATGTTATGGGCAGTGTTCTGACAGATGTCAGAACATCAAGGTTGTAGAGGGGTTAAAATGATCTTATTACACAGATTCAAGATGTTTATGTGTACCCTGTGGCCTGTCAGATGTACAGGTGTATGAAAGTCATATTGAGAAGGTCTGGCCTTCTGTTCTTGGCTAGTCTGAATTGCTATCCCACAAGTTCCTTATGTGAGAGGAGGTTCTTAACACATTTCTGTAGAAACACTGTGCTGTGAGTTAAAGACACTTGAGTAACTGGTTCAGTGGAAGTGTCATGAATGTTAGTGGTTTCTGATTCACTTTACCCTTTTGAGTTGAAGTTAGGATGGTTACTCTTCTCTGGAATAGTGGTCATACCAGACTTCACTAAATATCCCGTGTTAAGATCCCAAAGAGTACTGTTTAGCTTTCTAATTTGTTTGGACAACAAAGAGTGTGAGTAAAACTGATCCACAGTAGTTAAGTACTGGATGATCTGTAGTTAAGTACTGGATGATCTGTAAATACTCTTTAAACATGCAAACCCCAAAGGTTTTCTTGGCATGATGATAAACAGAAGACAAGTTCTTTACTGTTGGCTGGCCACATTTTTTAGTATATCTGAATAATATGGGAGTCTAAGAGTCTAGGTAGACTTTATCTTTGTTACTCTGACTCCCTGCTACAAAGCTGTAGGAGAAGGACTTCTAACTATGGCATGAAGAATCAACCAATTAAACAAGTGAATCTTCTAGGGAGGCAGTTTGCATAATTATTTCTGATACTTTAAAAAACCTCAATGTATCTAGAGATTTAGGTTAAAGCAGTTGCTAATCAGTTAAAAATTCAGAAAAGCTGAATTGGTAGTATATGTGGGTTGTTCGGGGGGTTTTTTGTTTTGTGTCTGTTGTCCCCCACAAGGACTACATCTATCCATGAATCATGACATTTAGAGTGTATCTTAAATAGTACTGCAGATCTGTTGAGACATCCGTTCTAACCATTGCTTTCTTTGTAGAGATAGAGAGCAGAGAGAGAGAGAAATAGCCCTTCAGGATTTTCGTTCTGGAAAATGTCCAGTTCTCGTGGCAACCTCGGTGGCAGCAAGAGGTCTGGACATCGAAAGCGTTCAGCATGTTATTAATTTTGATCTTCCTTCCACCATTGAGGAGTATGTACACAGAATTGGACGAACTGGCCGTTGTGGAAATACAGGGAAAGCAGTTTGCTTCTTTGATAATGATTCGGATGGCCATCTTGCACAGCCTCTAATTAAAGTGCTTTCAGACGTAAGTTTCAAATCTTACTGCTTAACTGTCTCTGCTCTTTGGGATTTTGCTTTAATGTACTGAGCAACTGTTAGGTCTTTGGAACAGCTAGGGAACTCCTGAATTGGTAAAGCAGTCAAAGTCTCTAAATTGTCTTTCTTAATTATGTAGGCCCAGCAGGAAGTCCCTCTTTGGTTGACAGAAGTTGCTTTTGAGTCTGAAAGAGGGAGACTCTCAGTTAATGTCCAAAAGGTAGGTCTAGAAATGAACTGAAAGTTTTGACTTTTAGAACTTTGTCTTAGTGAAAAAGTATGTTTAACCGTATATATCGTGAGTAATGCCACTGAAACTGTTATGACTGTAACTGCATCCCTTTTCTTAGTTGTGCATCTTCAAAGAATTCCAAAGAATTACTGAAGCTAATTTCAGACAACTTGCTTGACTTGGACTCTTAACGGTGTGGCCTATTAATAACTGCCTTACTCTTGATCTGTAGTGTCAAGAATTAGTCTGTGGAAGACAGGTTTGTGCAAACATATGCCAAGGCTGTAGTTCCAGAAATTTCTCTACTGCACATGTAAAATGGGAGCATATAGTTGCTGATGATACAGTTAGTGCTTGCTGTAAATCACTCAGTCAGGTAACTTGTTGACTAAAATCTCAGTTAATTATAGTTAGATAAATGGCCCAGCCTAGTCCATGTCAAAATTGTTCTTAATATCTGTGATGAGGAGAAGCCTTCTAGTCTCTTGATGTTGCTGATACGAGATGTTAAGATACAGCTTGAATAAAGGAGAAAGCCTCTATGGCATAGCTCTCAAATCACTCTGCAGTTAATATTTTAGGATTTAAATTCTGTGCTTACTCCTATTTTGAATGAAATTCAAATTTTCAACTGATGTTTGTTACTTAATTGCCTTTATCTAATTGGATTTTAACCAAAAACCTTTCCTTCATCTCTTACTTCCAGTAAGAACTTTATCACATCTCAGTTGTGTTCCAAATGTTGATACTTTCTTAGAGACCACGGTAGAAGTAATTGCTCTCACTTCTTAGATGGGGTCTGAAGCTTGAGTTCAAGCTCAGGCCCTTCCTTTCATTAATTATCTTTTTCCATACCGTAATTATTGAAAGTACTGAGAAGTTCGGGTGTTTTTTATCTGCCTGGCTAGTTCCCTAATCAGATCTGAGTAATTTTTCTTTGTGTCTTTATGGGATCTCAGTTATACAAACTTTGCTTCATTCTCACACTTGAAGCTTTAGTGGATCTTTCCTGTTTATTCCTTTTCAAGGACACTTTTTTCATTTTTATAGATTGCTTTCAAAAGTGGATCTCACTAGTTTCTTCCAAATACACATCTCCAGCCTTTGTGTAATGTCTCCCAGCATTTCATGAAATCTTTAATTTTCTAGGTCCAAGTCCTTTATGTCCTTTATAACCTCTGAGCCACCAAATCTGACTGTTGCCCAAGGATATGTGTGAATATAGTATTTTCAGATGAAATCTCTCTGCCTGCATTGGGAATACTGTTCTTGATATCACATATATACAGTGCACCAGCTCTTGAGTTGGAGATCATGAGGTTCTAATTCTTTTGAGACCATCTGACGTCAGTCTGACAGAAACTGTGCGTTTGTAACCAGTCCAATTTTTTTTCTTTCAAATGAACTATTAAAGCTGGGTTTTGCTGCTTTACTTTTATTGAAAGAAAATCTTATCTAATGTTCAGTAAGGATCCTCATGCCCTTTCTCTTGGAGAAGAAAGGTAATATTCATGTTTTTATAATATTCACTTTCAAAGGGAATGCATAGAAGGGCCATTGGATAATCAAATGGTGAATCTGAAAGCGGAATCTGTTGGAAGATCTTATCTGATTATTTTGGGATGATCTTATAGATGACTGGACTTCGTTGTTTTTTTTTTTTTTTTTTTAAAGGCATTTGCTGAGAAAGTAATTCAGTCACTTTTATGTAAGAAATTGAGAAGGAAGTTTTTTTCCCACAGTTGTATGAACTGATTTGTTTTGGATAAGAAAAGATGTTGGGATGTGAACTTCAGTAAGTGTTACTACCACACCTGATGAAATCTGAGGTTGATTAAACTGCATTAATTTCACACTGGGGTCCAAAAACCTTATATATAGAAGGTTCATGATAAAAACTATATTTAAATTGGTGTTCAGATACATTGAGACATGCATGCAGAAAGCTGAAATTGTTTTGCTGTGACTTTTACCATTAAATAATTGAAAGTGGTTGGAATGATTCTAAATTAGGACCTGTTCTGTTTCCTAGAATAACAGAGGTAGAGGCAACATGAACCCAGGAGAAATGAAGATGAAGTATTCTGCAAGTGAAGTTGAGTCATGGGATTAAAGCTATTTTATCCCAAACTGGTTTATATTCTGTTGTGCTGTAAATTAGATGTTGCATGGGAAGATAGTCTTGTGGAGACCTAGTTTGGGAAAGTACTTTATATAAGGGTTCACTTAAACTTTGTCCTTTTTTTGTAACATGTCAGTTAAAAAGTTTGAATCTTGTGTTGTGATGACTAAAAGATCTGTTGAACACCTCTTAAGCGATTACTTAATAGAAATTTGAGGAGTTCTCTTTGAATGTAGCCGCTGTATCAGATATTACAAAAAAACCACATATTGCACTTTCACGAACTGGTATTATTTCGACATGCATGGAACATTTGCATCTCCATATGGAACTAAAGGTCAGTGGCTACACCCACAGCTTAGTGGAAATACATGTTTTTTTTACAGAGCTGTCATCAGAGAATGATGGAGCCCTGTTTGTTTCTAGTAGAATGTTTTTACCTTTGACAGACAAATACACTTCTGCTGTCTCTTGTGGAAAAGTTTGCTTTAGAACAAGCCTGGTGACTTAGGTCCAAGAAGTTTCCGTGGCTTGTAGAACCTACAGAGGGTAAGCAGTCATTAACAGTGTAAGGAGATTTCTTTAAAGTTGCTTTTTCTTTGAATTTTTTTCTCTTTATCAATGCAGTATGCTACAAAAATGCATATCATTGTGTTCCAAGGAAAAACGGCAAAGTAATTATATTTCATAATATCTTGCACAGCTGAACAAGTTTACAAGCTTCTCAAGTTCTTTGGTATTTCACACACAGTGTTGAGCACTATTTCTTGTACAGTCTTCCCACTTAATCCAGGGAAATAATAATTTTAAGCTGTACTTACAGGACTGAAAGTTTAATGCCCAAGTTTGTAGGAATCAGAACTGACTGGACAGTACTAGGGAATCTGTCATTGTGGAAAAGCATGCTGTCACTGTCACCAAAACTATTTACTTAAGTATCCATTTAGAAAAATAGTGTTATTTTTGTAGACTGTAGTTTTACTGCTATATAATGCGGGAAAATAGTAAAGTACGTGTTAATTGTGTACTTAGAAGTGAGCTGAAAGGATAGTATACTTAAATTGCAACTCACATGCAGTGGATGTATTTAGGCCTGAAGTCTGTAATTCAGAGTAAATACCCTGGGCAGCATGACTCCTCTTCCTGAGAAGTCTCCTTGAAGATTTTTGCATCCATTCTGAATTTCAGGTGAGAAATTGAGGGTTCTTTTGGTTGCTGAGTGCAGTAAACGTGAGTGAACTGTAATTGTTGGAGGAAGCTGTGAACTGATAAAGCCTTCCATTTCTGTGAAAAGAAGCCAGAGGACAGAGTCATGGACCAAAACCTAGAATAAACCTGTGAAGAGAACGTGGTTTAGCATTTTTTTAAAGGACTGCTTAGATCACTGCGTGTTTTTTTGCTTTGTCTCCCATTTTATGACTTGTTGAGTTGGGGTTGGGCAACAGAGGGAATTCTGCAGTTGTCTCTTTTTCTGTAAAAGAATTATTCTGGCCCTATTGTTCCTAACCACTTACAGAAAAAAGGAAAATGAAAGCCTCAAAGAGTTGAAGTACTTGAAGAAAAATACAGTTCCTTTTTGAACATTCAGTTTTAGTTTTAGCCTTGTGATTCTTTAAATACATATTTAATCTGCAGGAAGGTATTTCAATGCGATTCTCAACTGGAGGAAAATGCTGACGAGGAGTTGAGGTGGGGAATGAACTGCGCTGTCAGTTGCCTGTTACTTTTATTTTTGCACTCAAGTAATCTTATATGGAGAACATGCTGAAAAATTTACTGTAAAATACTATATTAATACCCTCTTCACTCAAGAGAATGCTGTTGTCCCTCTGGCAGCAGCCAGGGTGAATGTCCTTAAAAGGTTTTGCTGAACTGATTGAAACCTGATAGCAGTGTACCACATACCTGTAATTTCGGTTAGATGTTTCTACTGCCTATAGTTGTGCTAAACTCAGGTCCTTGGATGTTTTTCTGATCTTTACCTCCATGTTTGTATAAAAATTGCTGTCTGTATTGCAACTTAGTTTAAGATTAAAGTGAAGGTTCTTGACAAGCTAGTGTTGAGAAATTCCTTCAAACCTTCTTTCATTGAACAGTATTTAAAATCCTGCTTTTTCTTTTTTTGTCACATTGCAGTAGTGATGTACTTCATGCAGTGCCTGCACTTTTCCTCACAAGTTGAGTTTCTCACCGTGGTCTGAGAGGAGTGCAGTCAGGGTGTCTGTTGGGTCTGGATGAGATGGAGTTCATTTTCCCCTTAGCTTGTGTGCCCCTTCACAGTGCTGTGCTTTGTATTGGTTATTAGAAACGTATTGGCAACACAGCTGTGTTTTGGTAGCTACTGAGCAGTGCTCACACAGAAAAGAAGAAGGAAGGAGGGTATTTGCTACTTAGAACAGTTGCCTTCCAGAGCAACCAGTACATGTGCTTGAAGCCCTGCTTCCCTGGAAAGTGTCTGGACGTGGCTTGCTGATAGGAAATACATAGTAAAATCTTAACAGTTTTTTTCCCTTTCCTTGTGTGCATGCAGCCTTTCACTTTTGCCTTAGTAAACTGCCTTATCTCAATCTACAAATTGTTTTCCATTTTATTTTCTCTCCCCCTTCCTGATGAGATACAGGAAGATGAGATACAATGGCTTGGTGCATACTTTACATCCAACTAAGGTCAACCCACCACAAGGTGAAAAGAAAGGACAGTCTGTAGAGGTGACTTATGACACTGTTTTGACTGTAGATCCTGATCAGAACACCAGTTTTAGTAATCTGGATACAGATTTACAAAGTCAGTCAGGTATGGTATCTTAGAAGAAAATGGGCACAATCTCTTTGGAAGTAATGATCATGGTTCAAAATATTCTGAGGCAATTAAGTTCTTACAGGTAAGTTACTAATGTATTAGTACAGAGGAAGTCAAGAAATTGCACAAAGAACTGAACACTGGTCATGAGTAAAAATGAAAAGGAAATTAAAGTTTTTTAATTTTCAGGCTTATAGCAGTTGGGCAAGATGACCTCCAGAGTTCCCATTCAATCTCAACCATTCTATGATTCTTATTCTGTGACATCAGACAAAAATTGAGAAGTTGAGAAGATGGGAATTACAGCATGTCACAGAATGACTGAACTGCTACTTTTAAGCTGCTAGGAAAAAAACACCCCAGTGTGCATCAGGATTAGAAAGGAAGCAAGGGGGCACTTGCTTCTGCAGTTGGCAGGTAAGAAATACTGTGCTGTGGGACAACCAGCAGAAGCATTCAAGAACAGGACTCCCATCCAGAGTGACCTGGGCAGGCATGAAAAACAGGCCTTGTGCAAGGTGGTGTGGACAAATGATGAGCTCCTAATGGAATTTAAAATAATAACCTAGAGAAGAGCCTGGAGAGCCTTTCTTACTAAGATCATAATGGACCAGCACTTCCGGTGCTGGACACTATCCTTCATAGTTTTCCAGACCAGACAGGATAAAACCTTGAGCCACATGTTCCCAGTCTCCTCACTGATGCTTTGAGCAAGAGGTTGGACGGAGGACCTCCTATGATCACTGCTATTTAAAGTGATAAGAGTGAAGGCAGCTGGGGAAGAGTCTTCTGAATTGAGGGTTTGATCGTAAATCATTAGGCTTCAAGATGAATTGAGGTAGTAGTGCATCCAGCAAATAATTTATAAGGCAGAGCAGATAACAGTAATGGGAATTTTTTTTAAGTTAAATTTGATATTTATGAGACATAAAAAGCCTATCTGAGTATAAATTACGTCCAATTCTTGTCACTTAAAGAAAACGTAAATTAGTGGTTTACAGCCCTTGATCTGGAGCTGTTTGTGGGCTGTGAACTAGTTCTAATGAATCTGCAGGTGGTAGCTGAGTAAAGTGTCAAAATTCTGACTGCATACTTAAATTTGATGATTAAGGGCTGCATCTCTCAACTCAGTTATGGCCATAGGAGTTGAAGGATGTAAACAAGAGTCATGAACAACAGAGAGATCAAATAGAATGCCCACAAACTAACACCAGTTTGATTCAAGTCCTTCACCTTTGGCAGGTAGGAAAGCAGAAGATGTAACAACCTATCCTGAAAACGTTTTTTTCATTGTTGATAATACTTGTTGGAATTTGCATTCTCCTACAAATTAACTTTAAAAATGCTGAAGAGAATGGACCTGTTTCTCCTCACTGACCTCAGTTTAGGGCTGGGAGCAGAAAGCAAGCTTGCTGAATATTGTTGGTGTATCAACTGGCTGTATGCAGAGTCTGTATGCTTCTTTGATTTAAGATAAACTGTAAAACTTCTGAAGTACAGAAAAACTGTACTCCGTTGTCAGCTTGTAATAAGTGGGGTTTTTCCTGTGTTAGCCAGTTGAGTAATTTGAGCATGTTGTTTAGCAGTTCTAGGGAATTCCCTGGTGACACAGGAGGGGGATATTGTGACATCTGTCACAACTTTGTCCTCAATAACATGATAAATGGATGGGTCTTGGTCAGGTGTGGATGTCTGTACATTGTCCTGTACTTCGGGAATTGTCAAGGATGAAAATACCGTTTAGTTTTGTCATTGCAGATTTTACTTTTTTGTGACTATTACTGTGTGTGTGTTTAGTTTCAGTCTTTGACAGTGACATTTCTTATAAACCCTCTGTTATTTGAGGGTTTTATGGTATGATTGTTTCCATCTCTTAGCTGCAGTAGCTAATGAGCAACAGGAGAAGAAATCACATGGCTATGGAGTGTGGACCAAGGACATGGGAGTCTTACATTTAAGCACATTCTTTTCAAATTTATCTGCTTTTTTGTATTTTTTTTTCTAAATAGCTTAAGGCAAATTACAAAATCAAGTGGGACTTAATTCTGGACAATAGTTCAGTAGTGCTTGAAATATAAATATTAAATGTTTTTCATTTTACACTGTTTATTTCCTTCCAACTAGCTGCAATACAGTCTTTGACACTTCTAAGTGTAATGAGTGTGGCTTTTATTTCTTTTTATTAAGCAGAAAAAATGTTCTGGTGAGAAAGGACACTTCAGAAGAGCTACTTAGTGTTCAAGGCTAAGGAGTCAGCTCTTTGATCAAAGTTAACTGGAGCCAAACTAATAAAAATGTCTTTTTCCTTATGCTTCTACATAGTTGTAGAAACCTAATTATCTTTCAGAGCCTGATATCCATATATAAGCTAAGACTAATATTTTCTTCAGAACTCACTGTAAATGTGTGTGTTCCCTGCTGATACTGTTTGAGAAAACTATGGACAGTGGCTGTAATCAGTTGACTTTAGTGTTGTATTAGCATGTCATTCTTACTGCAGTGGAAATACTGTCAAGCAGGATTTCATTGCTCTGTTGTCTTTCTCCTTCTTCTTTAACCGGGTCAGCTAAAATAGTTTTCAATATCTAATCTTTACTTGAATATCTCTGAACTTTAAAGAATGTTGTGTTTTGCTCTTCCTCCACTATTCAAAGTGACATATGGACAGTCATAGGGGATGATGTGATTGTTTACAAAGACTTTTTTTCCTGGAAAGGTGAATGAGGTTTGAACTGAAAGAAGTTAACTTAATTTTGGCCTCCTTGTGCACTTCTCTTTATCACGGGTAGCAGAGAGCGGAAAACGGGGAGATGATTTACCAATAATTCTTTGTCTTCATCAACTCAGCCCCACCACTCCCCCTGCTTAAAAATGCTGAGTTTCTCCCTTTAGGACCATTTTCATAAATCACTTGAAACTATGAAACTATCCCTACAGCAATATTTCATGGGCTTCTCAGTCTAAACATACCAGTCATATAATAAAGTCAATTATACTGAAGACTTGTGTTTCCTTAGGAGATTCTGTATTTTAAGGTCATATGCAACATACTCAAGTATACTAAATAAAAGGTAAAATTCTTCTCCAGAATGAGTGAATAGCTAAGCTTCCACTGTAAGCTTTTTGTAGTACTTTGGCAGCTCAGAGATCACTTCTAGAACTGAACACACTTGTTTTATTCATATTTATTGTCTAGATTGGTGAATATGTAACCCACCCTCACCGAACCACTTTGGGAAATCTTGTACAAAACTGCAAATACCATTATATACAACTTAAGCATTGAAAGCAATGATTTATTGGAAGGTATAGATAACAGGGTAGCATGTTAGTCCTAGCTAAATGCTAATGTACCCCTTATAAGACACCTAGTAAATCATGAGAAAGAACCTGACTTCAGACCACAGCAACAAAAATGTTCAGTCTCACCAAGTGAAGACTTGGTGTCCTGACTCCTCAGAAGGTACTGCTTAGCAACAACTGAGACATCAATCAGTGTGTTACCAACATTGTTCTCCTCCTAAATCAAAACCACAGCACTTTACCACCTACTAGGAAGAAGATTAACCCTATCCCAGCTGAAACAAGGATGGGAACCAAAAAGACAAACAGAGGGAAAACACTAATCCTCCATTTCCCAGCTCACTCCAGGGACTTCTCCATGGCTTATAGCCACAGGTTATACTTTCTACCCTTAAGAGTGGCAACAAGGGGTGTGGGAAGGAGGGGAGAGTGGAGTTCTGGTCAATATGTAAGGATTTCACTCTTCTCCCAGCTTCCCTTTGCTGGGAGAAGAGTCTTTGCCTGGCTGCAGAGACTATGCTCTGGAGTAGGTCCTCTGCAGGCTGGAATGAAGCTCCACCTCTAGTCCTGGTGTTGCCTCTCTTACTTCTTGATCCTTTTCATGCTCTTTTCCTCTACCATTTTTGCAGTTTCTTAAATGCGTTTTCTCTGAGGCATCACCAGCTCTGCTGGGGGCTCAGCTGTGCCCTGTGCTGGGTCTGCTGGGCTGCCTGGAGATGGCTGTGTGACACTGGGCAACCCACAGCTCTCTAGCCCTGCAGGCTCCAGTACCTAAATCTGCTATTGCAGAGTGCATCCAGCCTAGGATAACATTTGGTGGGGCAGGAGCCACATTGTTCTGAGGTAAGAAAGGTGAGAATCACAGAATTGTTAAGGTTGGAAAAGTCCAGTCATTAACCTGGCACTGTCAAGTCGACCACTAAGCCGTGTCCATAAGTGCCATATCT